AGTTCGGGGGAGAACACTGCTCTGTGACCGCATCTTCTGTTGCCTTTGCTGCAGGAGCAGAACCTGCCAGGGGATTTGGCACATAACTGGTGATGCAGTCTCAGGAGTTCGCATGTGTATTGTACCAAAGCTGTAAGCATTCAGAGTAAAATCTTCCAAAATCCTCTGGGACTGAGTGCCATGGCATCAAAGAACTACAGGAAGAAACATAAGAGGCAGTCATCTGTTAGCCCTGCGGCCAGCTGCATGGTGCCTCTGGGACACTTAAATTGCTATTACGCAGCGTTTTACAAGCCTAGTCACCCTGCTACTCACTGCTTAGTGCGGTGAGGCTTTCAGGATGGGTTCTTCAGTTGGGTGAAGGATGATTTCATCTGGGTCTCAAAAGTGCCAGGCCCTGTGAGTTGCCTTGAAACTTAAGGTCCTTTTAAAAGTTCCTCTGTGCTGAGGTTGCAAATACTTTTGTACCACTTGAAGTGGTACAAAATAACACACACACACATAAATTTGTGTGTGTGTGTGTTGTTTTACTGATGGCGTGTGTTGCTTAAAATTGTCACTGTAAGTTGTGTTCTTTTAGTGGACTTTGACAAGCAGTCTAAGTGACAAAATTATCCATTGTGTAAAACCTAATCTGTTTCTTTTTTCTTTTTTTTTTCCTTTTTTTTTTCTTTTTTTGTGGACAAACAGCAGAAATATCTAAGGGCTGTCTACTGTGATCACTTGCTATTTTTTACTGAAGGGGAGATGAGAGTAGTGAGTCATTAATAAAAGCTTCAAATGTTAATTGGCCATATATAAAGTGGTGCCAAATGAAGGGTGCAAGCGAATCACTCTCCCTTTGCTTCCCAGCAGTTGAATGTTTCCTTTATTTTTTTTAAGCACTGGAGACATCATGATCCCCTGCTTGCTTCTGCACTTAGGCACAGCATGACCTGACTTTTCCATTTTGAAAACAAGCTTTTCAAGATCATCTCACAGGTGCCTTCCAGATGTCATGAGGGAAAAGCACAGCATTTACACTTTTGATTGTCATTTTAAAGCAAACCAAAAAAACCACCTTCAACTCTCCCGAACTTTGTAGCTATGCCTAGAGCAGCTTTAACTCACTTTTTGATGTGCAATATTTGAATTACAGAAAAAAATACATTTTAAAAATTATTTCCACAGCAGCCACACCTGTGCTTAAACATTTGCAGGTGGCAGTCAGGCACAGCCTTTATTGAGTGAGTGTTTTCCCAGCACAGTGAGCTGTGGTCTGTACCTGGGGCACAGTTTGAGCCGAACGTTTAACCCAAGCTGTGGTTTTTCCCTCAGCCCTGCTGGCTGCAGCACAAGGCTGAGGGCCGGCTAAGGCCGACCACCCACCGCTCCTGCTGGCCCTGGCACTGCTGCTGGTCAGACCAGCCCTTGCTCTCTGCTGAGGTGAACAGATGAGTTCTGAAGGCAATTGTGTTAAGAACGTTCTCATAGCTGAACTTCAGTCTGAGGTTTGTATTACCTGTTCCTGTTCTATTCTGGTTATGTTACTCTTGCTGTCATGGTCCTGGATACCTTACTGTTGTCTGTAGTGAAAAGGCAAATTTTAACTTTTTTAGTTTCTGCACGCTCATTATTTTGATTTCAGCACATGTACATGTTGTTGAAATGCTGCATACCAGTTAAAAGGAGATGATTATTTCAAACTAATTGTATTCCTGAGGAAAGCCATAGAACAAAATGTGTTTAGAAAAATTTGATTGCAGCTTTGGTTTTTCAGATTTTTCAATCCACAGTAGTTGTTGGCAGTGGTATTCTTGGTAACATTCTGTATTGGAAGCATACATGCAGAAGAAACTCAAAGTTGTACAGCGGTGGTAGTGCCAGAACCTCCACAAGTGGTGTAGTGCTAACAGGGCTGTCGGGGCTGCTTACAAGAGCTAGAGAAGGATATGCAAATACCTTTTTAAGGCTATTTTTTAGGCATCATTGCTAAAGTTATAACTTCATACCCCCATATTGCCATTAAGTCTCTCTCTAAAGATTAAAACACATTCTCAAGAGAGAAGTTACTTGGAAAACGGTTGTAAATTTTTATTCGTACAGCTAGAAACAAACACATCTGCTTGACTGTGTGACATTGCTTCCGTTTGGAGCTACAGCTGTGGCAGATGTAAAACCAACCATTGTTACCTTACGGTGAGGCTACACTTGTAAAAGAAACAGCGTAATTGTGATCAGAGCCGTTACGTCAGCACACAGAGAAAGGCTTGATACAGTGGAAGGAAGAGTACGTTTGCTTGTTTCATGTGCACGCATAAAAAAAGCAGTAGAAAAATACATTTATAAAATTACAAATTTCCTCTTTATGTGGAATGTTGTGTCAGACACAGTTGTGGGGAAGGAAAAAACCTGATTGCTCCCTGCTACAGCCATTTGGGATGGGGCTTAGCCTGTCAGTTCTTCAGACTGATCCCATACGGGAGGCAGCTGGACCATACGTTTAAGCAGGACTCTCCCTCAGTTCCTGGGAGGGACTGCTTGCAAACTGGTGGCAAGCCAAACCCAGTTAATTGAAATGTTTAATTACATACTATCATCTGGTAGTGCGAATATCTACTTGAAATTATTATATGTACTCCAGCGCTTTACAAATTCAAAGCTGCTAACTACTTCATCTGGTGGAGAGGTGTCAAGCCGAGTTGTTCGTTTCACAACAGCACTGCTTTGTTTTTACTTTTGGAAAGCAGACTTCGCTGAAACCCACCTGTCACTGGGCAGGTCGGAGGGATGGCCCCGGGGCCACCTACTCCCCTAACTCTCGGTAACTGTCTCTGGGACTTTGAACTGTGCTGCCCTGCAGCTGCGGAGATCCTGGCCCCAGAGAAAAGCTAAAGTGGCAGACTGAGAGCTCTGGCTTCTATATCCTTGAGGCAAGGGCATCAATAACCTGCTTCATCTGTGATCTACTTGCACTGGAAAAGCATGGTCACAGCTGCTTTCTCTCATTTATAGCTGGGGGAAGAAGAGCATTTATATGTTAACAAAATCCTTAATATATATATAAAAAAAGAACCAACCTAGCAAAGCCTGGGAGGGTTTTCTTTCTGAAGATGAAATGGTGATACAATAGTCACTTAAATAGAGTTCAATAATCTATAACATAAATATTGAATATTTATTAATAATGCTGTCTAAAGCGCTGTCTAGTATGTCTAATATTAGGTGTGTTAAAATAAGAAGATGTGGAAATAAGAGGTAAACGTTCACTAAAGCAATAGTCAGACCTATGTAGTTAGTTGTAACATGATTAATATGTTCATTTGTTAGCTCTTTTAAAGCACGTTTCTACATACGGCAGTCATGGTATTGACAAGGCCCTGCCATGTTGTCGTGGGGGCACGCCAGAGGTAGCAGAGAGGGTAATTCTATGCCTTAGGCTGGATTCACACGGGACCAGGCATGGCACTGAAAACACATTTTAAACGCGTTGCTCCCAGGTGAAATTGGTCCTGCAGTCCTCAGGTTCCTGACTGCTCCGGCGCTGGCCTCCCAACAGCTGGGAGCTGCGCAGGACGTCACCGACCGGGTGACCAGAGAGGTGCCAAGCGCCTTTATCATGTTTTTCAACCAGACTCTGCAGGAGTCACGGCTTAGCCTCTCACCTACTGCACGGAGCACTCTGCCACCTGCCTGCCAAGGGCTTGAGCAGGGCTCTGGGAGCCTTTGCTGATGAAGCTGTTGGACTTCGCTTAACGTATTTCTAATGTTTACTTGAACAGAAGCTGGAATCAGAGTCTTCTGTCATTCAGATTTCTTTCTGCCTTTTGCTTCCTCCCAGCTGTTTAAACTTGCTAAGCAAAATGAAACTCTCAATGCAAGACAATAGAAGAGACCTCTTAAAAAATATCCAGTTTCCCAGTATTTGGGATACTGCTCACACTGCACCTTTGGCATTTTAAATCTGCATTTTCCATATCTCACCAGATGTTCAAAGTAGCCGACTCTAGGAGGGGAAACTGTTGCAGTGGCATTGCCAACCCTGTGATGTTTTTAGAGGGCTGGAGGTGGTCAACACACGCTTTATAGGCTGAACACGCTCTACAAAATGGGGAATAAAGCCAGTGGGGCATGGGTTTGATAAATGTGCTAATCGGTGTAGTGCTGTCAAGACACGGGTGTTTCCTGGACACAGTAAGACGTTGCAAGCTTCAGAAAATTGAGTGGTAGAAACTGTCCAGAGTCTGAACAACTACAGTTTGGTCTTGGGTGCCACAGGTGGTAGCCATGGCTCTGTTGGCCTGCTGGTCCCTCCATCACCCTGCAGAGGTATTCTGGCTGGCTCTGGGAACAGAAGCTGCGGAGCCAGGACAGTACAGGTCTATGCTTGTGGAAGTTTGCCACCCTGACGGACAGAATGCGTTTCCTTGGGCACACCAGCAGCACACGGCAACGCGCCTTCGGAGACCCGCACATGTACCTTGGTTTGCCCTGTGCCACTCAGACGTACAAACTCATTGATCTCTTCCCCACCCTCCGGCACACGGTACGGCCGTGCCTGGTGTCACCCCTGCGAATATAGGTCCTGTCAGCGCTGTCTGAATGCGCTGAGTTCATTCCTCATGACAACAAGTGAGTGAAAATGCGTGTGCTACTAGTTGAATAGTATCAAAATAGGTTACCTAAAAAGGTTTTTCTAGTCTGTGCTACTGCTTAGTTTGAATAGCTGAAAGGCAGAAAGTGGCCAATTCTTTTCTTTTAAGCCTTTTGCTGTGTTTGGAATAGCACCACAACACAGTTAAAAGAAAAGTGAAAGGGATTATTAATTCTACCCCAAGGTGTATTCACCAGCAGAGAGTTACCGTTAACATACACTGCATATTCCACAGCTCTGCAACAAGAACAGATAGAGCTCGAAACTCCTTTCTCCTTTTCATAGAGTTCCTGGACTGCAGAATCTTCAGAGTTGAAGTGCTGATTCCTTTTTTCTTGTCTGTCAGCACAATTCTTACCATCTGGAGTTAGTTTAGCAGAAAGGTGTGGATGTATATTTGTCTTTCAATCCACTCAATAAAATGTGACACATTACTGTAAACTCCAGGTCCCAAAACCTTGGAAAAGCAGACGGAGCCCCAAGACGTTAAACCAAACAAAGTCCAGCGCCCTGCTGGTTGCTCACACACAAGCGGCCCTCCACTGTCACCCTGCAAGAGGAAAGAAAAAAACAGTTTACGGGGGCTACGCATGGCCGGCAGTCATATGGTTAAAGCTGTTCCTACTGCGATTTACCTTTAAGTGTCTCTGCTGTAAAAACTGGCTGCTCTGCTGAACTACATAGCAGCATGCAGCGTTACCAGTATTTATTCCCTGTTATATTTGTACAAAATATTACCTGCAGAAGGCTCATACAAATTATAAAAAAAAAAAAGACAGTCTAATAGTTAAACAATATGGATAAACCTTAAGAGTCCTCAAGCAGCATTTCATTATCATAAACTGAAGTTGATTACACCAATAATAATAATACAAGTTGGGTTAAAATATGTAAATAACATGTCATTCCTACAGCAGATGAAGTATGCTATACCCAATAAACATGTTGTGAGTTTCTCCTACCATGCAAGAGTCCACAGTGCCAGACTCGTAGCCAGCGCACAGCATCCTGCTGGTGATGGTTTTCATGTCAAAGTATGACTGGCATTGTTCTAAGGAAATGATGCGAACTTCTCCTTCTTGAAGCTTGAAAGGCACTGGAAAATGGAATTAAGCATTAAACTATACACACACAAACACACAAATACTCAGCTGTGATGGCTCTTTGAGAGATGATAAATATTTCCATTAGGATAGATTATAAATATTACTTAATATGTACGTATTAAACGTAAGGAGAGAAGAATCCCCCTTTTGCGCAAAGCAGAGTTGAAAGCAGGTGGGGTTTGCGTTGCTGCATTGCAGGGTTCGTGAAGCCCGGAGTGACAGTTGCCGTTTATCGTTTGTGCTGACAGACTGAGGAGGGAGAGCACCTTTACAGAGTAAGGGTATCTAAGATGGGGGCAATATTGGCTGGAAAACAGTAGCATGAGGGAGGTGGAGGAGAGGTTTGACTCACTGTTCCATGGTCACATCTCCCTGCCTCTCAGTGTCTCTCGTGGTAAAGCCCGGTATAATCACAGCCATTTTGAGTTATGCTTGGGTAAATTTGAGTTAGAGAGTGTATCAGGGAATGAGAATTCAAAGGTTACTGAAATTACTTTAGCATATTCAGGAGACAATGAAGGGCTTCTTCCTAGTCTAAACAGCTGAGCTCAAATTCTAAGGACAGTTGGTCACCCTAGGGCATGAAGTACTAAATGCTGTGTAGCTATAATGGTTTTTGATGCTTCATAACGTAAAACCTTTAAAACCAATGCTGAAACCACATTAGAGAACAAAGAACTTTTTCCCACTTACCAGTGGTGCAAAAGCATTCTGCGGGGGTTTTTTCCTGCCGTTACATAAAAGATAGTTTTAGATGGGTAGAGCTGCTAGTAAACAGCCTATCCCTCACATCTGCAATTTGATTTTTGCCACATATCTGACCTGGCCACTAGAGGTGAAGTCCCACCTGAAGCAATACTGAAAGGAAAATTTCCTTCTCCAGCATACAGAACGACAGCCTGCCCTAGCAATTACTGTAACAGCAAAGGGAGAAACACAATGGCTAGAGCGTTAAGAGGGTTGGGGCCAGGATAGTTTGCATATGATGCATGCAGAATCGTTTTGTCTAAGCAATGATTTACACAACACAATTGCTCTTGTCCTGGGACCCAGGGGTTGCAGTGGCCACAGAACAAGAAAGTACACTAACGTTCTGTTCAGAGAGACAAAACCACCACTTGTGATTATGGCTGGATGGAATACATCATGTCACAAGTCCAAAGCGTGACACAGAATATTGACTCAAGAAGATGTCTGTTCAGCCTTGGCTCAAGAGCTTTCAGTGCCTTCTGCTCTCACTGAACTAAAAACGTTGCCCCCCCCGCTGACGATCTGACACCTTCTCAATACAGTTGTGAATACAACCTAAGCCAGTAAAATGATAACCAATGCAGGTGACTTTCTTGATAGGAGTTTCTAGATCCTCAACATTTTTGAAAATCAAGCCACTTGTCTACATAAGTATTACGGAGCATAAATTCAGGCTACTGATTTGAAAAAGGCAGGCTTCAGGCACAGCTAGATCCCTTCATGAGTAGTTACAGTTCCCTGGTATTTAATAAGGCCCAGTAATAGCATAAATGGATAAAGCTTTGTAATGAGATCACTTATTTGATTAACTCCGTGGAAGGTTAGCGTGTTTTTCCCAGAAAAGTCCCAGAAATATTGATCTTACTTTTGTTGCCCATGTGTCCCCAGCCTGTGATGTAGCAGTAGGTATCTGGCCGAACCAGCTGGTCCCTGCTGGGCAGACAGACAGGTCTTACATAGCTTGTCTCGTTGATATCCTCATCTAGTTCCACAATGCTGATATCATAGTCTACGACTGCTCTGTTGTAGCGCGGGTGGAGGATAATGGTCTTCACTAGCCGGGTCTGCATGAAGCCCGATGGGTGGTCAAGGTTGCTAATCCCAAACACTACTTTCCAAACAGCTGCATTCTCTCTCCTTTGTGAAAAAAAAAAAAAAAAAAAAAGAAAAAATGGTAAATTTCAATCAAGAGTGTTCTTTTAAGCTAAAATACCTGAGAATTTCCTCTCCCTGACTTTTAGGACATTGCACTTTGCAAAGCCTTGCACATACAAATGCTACAAGAAAAAACCCAAATACTTAGGCATCATTACTTGCAGCTAAGATCTGAGCAACAGAAGACAATGCTTTCCATTTCCTTCCTGCCCGTTACCAAACAAATTAAAGCTCACACCTTCAGCAGATACATAACCACCTAGTAGTTGCTGTATTAAATGCCAAAGGCTCTCAAAATTATCCCTTGGATCCTGCCCTGGTCTTTGGTGCTCGCACACTCACTGGCAGGTGTGCACAGATTCCTCTGGGGGGGACGGTCTTGTTCAGTAGTATGCTGCTGACAGCAGTAAGCCTAGCTGAAATCCCAAAGGAGTCTCAAAAAAGCAATTCTGTTAGGAAAATTAAATCTTTTATGATAGCTATGGGAAAAGTCCCTTATTTATTGGGCATTCAGTCTGTGCCAAGTATGCTTCCTATGTCTAAGACCAAAGGTTACTTTGACTCATAATTGTTTAAGACTCTCTTGGTAAATATACAAGATCACCAAAAAAATGATGCATATGATCCAAGTGGGAAGACTGAACTAGTGTCTGTTGAGACATGTAAGAAAAACAGACATTTTGAAAGGCTTCAAAGGTGTAATCTCTTGACTGTAACTGGTCACAGGCGAAGTCACAGGTTCCTAATTAGTCTGTGATTCTAAAAACACTCAAAAAAGTCAGCATTTCTCACAACTGATGAAAGACAGTTCCATGTAACTAAGCACCTTTGACAATATCAAAGTTTAATCAAAGCCATGTAACTCAAAGCATGCAAAATTTCGGCTTTTTCACAGTACTCAACAGGATTGTAATTTCTGTAATTTGTAAAGAGATGTGGTTGCTAAATAAAGGCTATTTTTATAGCCTAAGTTGCATGAAAATGCTGATATTTCAGACTATAATGATCATTTTATCATGATCAGTTTGCAAGTTTTTCCATAAAGTTACAAGATTAAGTGCTAAGAATATTCATGTGGTATTTTGTTTACGGCCATTGTAAAAGAGCATTGCTCAGAGCAACGAGCAGTCACAGCCAGAATGTATTGCCCTACAGTCGAGGAAAAAAAAAAAACAAACTTAATGGCTTGGATGCTTTGGTGTAATGCATTTCAAAACAATCTTGACAAAACTCTGGGGACTATACTAATAATACTAGCAAAGGACACAATGTTTAATGTAGCTCTTTCCATTTATGCCCCCTACAAGTCTTTATGACTATTTGCATTAATACTTTCTGCTGCATTTTTGTTATATGGTCCTTGTGTTTTGTATCCCAAACTTCACATGAACTTCATAAAATACTTCACAAAATGGAGCATTTTGTCTAAAGCACCAGAGCACTTTAAAATCTGTTTTAATTGTTGGCTTATTGGGTTGGTTTGGTAAATGTTTAAATACTTTATGTCAAGAAATCTTCAAGGCATCAAGAATGATCTTGCTGTTGCTGTATCAAGCTATACAAATGAAGAACTTAAAGATTTCAGGATGCTGGGAACATACCCTGAAATCTATTTGGAGAGGCAGAAGAGAAAAAAGTTCATATAACTCCTCAATGAATGATTAAACCAAAATATCTCAGTACCTTAAGGCATTTAGAATACAAACGTGAAGGAGACCTTTCACACGTAATACTCTGAGCTCACCTAGATATTATATAGCCCTACATGAGGTGTAAATGAACAGCTCCAAAATGTAGTTGCAGTCTTTCTGCATTTGACAAAAATGGGAGAATTTTTACTTTATGAATTTCACACCTTCTTTGCTTATGTTTCACTAATGAGAGAAATCTCTTACCCATGAAATTCAGTAGCAGTCCAATACTGCTGAAGGATCTGCCTCTAAATCCCACCCTTTATTTTCGATCACCAGAAAAAGTTCTTCCAAAGATAAAGAAATATTCCAAATGCTGCTTAGCTTTACTTCAAAATAGATGGGGAAAGAAGAGATATTACTGGGCAGGACCCAAAATCTGATAAATACAATATTGTTGTATTATTCAGGTTTAGCATTCTGTTAGTTTAGAAGGAAGCCGTTTTAAGTTTCTGGTTATTACTTCTCTCTGAATAGAATCAGTTCTTGAACATCCTTAGGGCTTCCTCTAGAGATACACTATCACCTGCCTAACGTCTTCTGGCTTGGATGCAAAAGTCACAAACTTTGTCCCTACCACAAGTTCCATCAAGAGCCAGGAAAAAAAAAAAAGGGGGGGGGGGAACAGGGGGGACGGACACCAACAAATACCAAAGAACTCAGTATTTCAGAAATAAAAATATGACATTATTACTGAAGGAGGGAATGATTAATGTTCTAAAGAAATATCAGTCAAGAGATAGTTGCTTACCACAGAATTTCTGCTGGCTTCAACAGAAAGAAAAGTGTTTAGTGTAGTCTAAAATAATTTCGAATGAGCAAGAACCAGTTTAAAGCAGGATTAAGCAGTAATGAAAACCACGTAGCAGAAAAGTACTTGCTAACTACAGCAGAAAACACACATTTTAATTATCTTTAGAAACCCAATTAAAAACCTTCAGTACAAGACAAAAGAAATGAGGTAATAAACTTCCCTCCAAAATCTGTGGTTCAGGAAAAGCAATGTTGGTTAGCACCAAAAAGCTGACAATGACCAAGACAATTCCTAAGACATGTAAACTTTCTCTGCACTCCGGACTCTCCATCCACCACAGGGCCTCAGATACTAATGGCCACAGCATTTTTCCAGGGTCATTTCTATGCTGGTGCCCTGAATGATTTTTTTAATCTATGGCAGTTGCCTGAGAACTACAGGATTAGTGTCTTGGTCT